CGAATTTGCCCGAAACTTCGTCCAGGGGGGTTATCTGGTATCTGGTAGAAAGTCATTTGCAAGCCTTTAGCTTTGAACGCAAGCGGGAAGCTGATGGGAATACTGGGTCCCGAAGCGCTATACTCTGGCGCGGACAATTAGATTTTAAACAACCTGTAGAGGTTTAAGTCATTCATATCCATTCATAGTGAATGATGGCTGTTTTCCGCACTCTAGCCCTTCGTCGTATGGAGGAAGAATTGAGAGATTTTACCCTCGCCGATGTCTTCGAGAAGCTTAGGATGGATGACGATAGTTTTGAAGAATGGCTCCGTTCCATTGGTCTCCTTGCCAGTCCCAGATGCAGCTCCTGTCAGCGACCAATGACTCTCAATGTGAACGCGAGGCTCTAGTACTGCTACAGGAGAGATTGCCGCTACGGACCAAACGGCAACAACAAACCATTTGCGACCATCTTGGGCGGATCGTTCTTCAGCCAGTGCAGGATTGCAGTGGTCAAGGTGTTCGCACTGTCCTACCTCTGGGTGAGAGAACTTGGCCTGGTTAAGGACAAGTCGTATGAACTCGGGATAGGACACACGTCCATTGTACAATGGGAACAGTACTTCAGAGACGTCTGCTGTCAGTATTTCCGAAGAAACCGTCCGGTACTAGGTGGATTCGGTCACGTTGTGGAGATCGACGAGACATGCGTCACTAAGAGAAAATACAACCGAGGCCGCATTGTTCGCCGACATCAGTGGCTTTTTGGTGGGTATGAAAGAGGAAGTGGCCGGTCTTTCCTAGTTCTCGTTCGACGACGCGATGCCAGGACTTTGCTGCGGCTCATTACGAAGTACATCAGGCCTGGTACTACCATCCTCAGCGATTGCTGGCAGGCCTATAACCGGATAACTGCCTTACCGCAGCTTTACACCCACCTCACCGTGAACCATCAGGTGAATTTCGTGAATCCGCAGACGGGCGCCCATACTCAGAATATCGAGAGCCACTGGCAGAGATTTAAACGGATGGCCAAACAGAAATGTGGCATCAATAACAGGAGATATGGCGACTATCTGAAGGAATTTCTCTGGAGGAGAATGTTTGGCACGCGAGGGGAATCTCTATACAATTTCTGGAGGCAGGTAGCGGATCTTTACCCCGTCCCCTGCTGAAAGCCTTTTGTCTCAACGGCCCTCTTGAGGGCCACAAAATCTGTACTAAACTTTAACT